GTCCTCCCCACTCCCAGGGACCCAGAATAACTTCAGGTATTTTATAGTCTATTACTGTGTGTAGCATCTCTTTTCCCAAGTCACTCCTTTTATGTGGCTTCCTCCTTAAAGTAAGGATTTTTAGGAGTTGAAAGTAGCTGTTCTCAGTCCCATCAGCTTGGGATGCCTTCTTTGTTTATTAACCTCCTTGCAAAATTAGAAACTTTAACCAGCAGGCAAGAATTTTCTTCATTAAAAAAACCCAAACTAGTGAGGGAGTAGCTGTGGTGATCTAGGGGTATGCAAAGACAGCACATGCTCCAAATTATTTTACGGCTTTTAAAAGTGCTGACTAATTTAGAGGACAGGACAGTGATTGTCAAGAAGGACATGTAGTGTTCTGTTTTGATGGAATTCAGCAAAACATTTTGGAGAGTTAGAGATCAGTACAGGCTGGGGGGGACCTGCTGGAGAGCAGCTCTGAGGAAAAAGACCCAAGAGTCCTGGTGGACAACAGGATGCCCAGGAGCCAGCAATGGGCCCTTGTGGCCAAGAAGGCCAATGGCATCCTGGGGAGCATCGGGAAGAGTGTGAGCAGCAGGTGGAGGGAGGTCATCCTGGTCATCCTGCCCCTCTGCTCTGCCCTGGGGAGGCCCCATCTGGAGCACTGGGACCAGTTCTGGGCTCCCCAGTTCCAGAAGGACAGGGAACTGCTGGAGAGGGTCCAGCAGAGGCTACAAAGATGATTAGGAGTCTAGAACATTTCTCTTATGAGGAGAGGCTGAGGGACTTGGGCCTTTTTGGTCTGGAGAAGAGAAGGCTGAGGGGGGGATCTGATCAATGCTTATAAATACTTAAAGGGTGGGTGTCAGGAGGATGGGGCTGGTCTTTTTTCAGTGGTGCCCAGGGACAGGACAAGAGGAAATGGGCACAAACTTGAATAGAAGAAGCTCTATCTAAACATGAGGAGGAACTGGTGGTGGAGTCTCCTTCTCTGGAGACATTCAAAACCTGCCTGGACACGTTCCTGTGGGACCTGCTCTGGGTGGCCCTGCTCTGGCAGGGGGTTGGACTGGATGATCTCCAGAGGTCCCTTCCAACCCCATGGCATTCTGGGATTCTGTGACCTGCAAGCATTTCCCATAAGACTTATTTCTTCCCCACCCTGTTCCTCTGTCACAGCACATATCTGCATTTGACAGCCAGAAGCAGTAGCTGGCAGCTTACCTATCAAAAAAAAGACATCTGGAACAAGGGTAGGCCCTGACAGATTACTCTGTGTGACTGGGTTAGTGGTAGCTGAAGTCTAATGTGAACCTGAGAGAGCTTCACTAGGAAACAAAAGCAGCAACAGGCATCACGTAACCTATGCAGAGAGAAGGGATGGATAGGAACTACCTTCTGCTAATTAAAAAGTGCAAGGAAAGGTATAAATCCTAAATCCACATAGGAGTGTGTTTTGCAGTGTCCCTTCAATGTATATTTCTGCTGATATTTGAAACTTGTTGTTAATGTCCCAAAAGGCAACAGTGTACCATCTAAATGGTCTCACTTTTCAACCTTGTCCTTCACAATAGCATTTTACCTGCAGAACAGCAGAGGACATGCCTGGCTGTGGCACGGTGCTTTCTAGTTCTTCTCTCCAGAAATGGGTCTTTTCTCACTTGTCATTTGGACTTGCCGCTGGCTGCAGCTTGCTTACCTGTGGGACTTTGTGGTGCATATCAATAGACAGAGATTCATAGATACTCCAGCTTATATCAAAACATCCCTTCTTCTAACTCCCCTGTATACACAGATCCCTGGTCTGTGTTGTTTTATACGTAACTTTTTGGTGGTGGTTGTTTTTACTGTTGTTTTAGTTTGCTTTGCACTGAATTACTGTCTGTATGAATGTAACCTAGTTATATCTATCTAAAAGTATAGCATGAGAAGAAGAAAATAATTTGTTTTCCTTTTAAGATTGCATCCATCCCCAAGTCCAGCTTCAGAAAAGTCACTTGTGCCTGCTCAGGACCCTGAACGGTCGCTAACGGAGTACATCCACCGCCTGGAGGTCATCCAGCAGAGACTGGGGGGCGCGCAGCCAGGTAACAACCACCTTGTCACCCCTCACAGCTGCCAGCAGCCTGGGCTGCTTTTTGCAAGGTTCTTCCAACATACTGCTTATAACACTTACACTGTGTAAAGAGCATCATTTTAATGAACAATTTTAATTATTTGGGGAGGGGGAAGAGGAGAAAAAATTAAGCAAGTCTCTGAAATGAAACCTTTTTATGAATCATATCTAAAACTAATCAAGGTAAAGCATTTCTCAGAAGAAGTTCTTAGTGAAATTCTTCAGCGATAAGGCTGAATAATTTCATATGATTTCCAACCCCTCCTGTTACCAAGTCTAAATAAGCAAATGTTGCAGTTTAAATGAAGTTGTGTATAGAGTTAATTTGCTTTAAAGTCAAAGAGAACCATTGTAATAGCTGAGCAGGACTTTCTCTGCAGCACAAACTATAATACTTCCCTCATTTACTGCTTCCTTATATTCCATAGCAGATTTTAAAAAAACATAATAAATTGGAGGCTGGTAAAAACAGCCGTCTAGTTCTAAGATTGATTGAAGAGCATACAAAGGTTTGTGGTGGCACTTATCTTTGTTATCATAAACAATGCCAACTAATTTTTAGACTGTGTTTACTTCAACTAATACTCTAGTTACTCACTCTTGTTATGTCTTAGTTAAATCATGGAAATTCCATGTGCCAAGGAAGAACTTATAAACTGTCATCATGTCATCCTCAAATCATCTCCTATCAAGATATAATTAGATGTGTTTTCTAATGTTTTGCTATTCTTGAGACTCCTGTCTAAGCCTTCTCCAGTGTATTAGTATCTCTGGATTATGAAAACAGAGCTGGACTTGCGGCTGCTGTGTCATTTCTGCCAGACCAAATCTGCAGATGACTTGTTTCCTGTTTATAGGTGTGACCATTCTGTGGCAGGGGCAGACTCCTGGTGTCTCTCTTCCCACCACAGGGCAGCAACGTACATCAAACAGCAACACAATATCTATACTCGGGTGCACACAGAGCCGGTGCGCTCGGCCCACGCCGCAGCTGTGCCAGGGAAAGCCGTGCTCCTGGGGGAGGGCACCCACGGGAGCTCAAATCACTGATAGGGATGGGATCGTGGTGACCGTGGTCCACATCTGTATCACACATAGATAGCTTCGTCTAGGCCAAGGGAGAAGCACAAAGCTCCAGCGCTGCCTCCTGTGTGGAGGTCTTTGGAGCATCTTCCCCAAAGCTTGCTTCACCCATCCAGGGTTGTGTTGGTCTGAGCTAGTGTGGACCACCAGGTGAGATAATGCCATTGGTGTTTTCATCCAGCCTTTATCCTTTTCATCTGCTATTGCTGCTTCCTTTCCCGTGTTCCTTCTGGCTGCTCATCCACACAATCAATTTACTTCATCATGCTACCTTTGGGTCAGGTCCTTGATCTCTAGGCAAGCACTGATTACTTTTTTCCACCAGCCACGACTCTTGAGTTCCCATGATTTCAGCCAAAAGCTGAAAAGATTCCAAGGTAGATACTTGGCTGTGGTGCTATGGGAGGGCCACGGGGATCTCTTCACACATTGCACATGCACATCTTAGATTTCTTTCACCGAAGCATAACATTGTCATGTTTCCCAGGCAGACTTGCCTCCCGTAATTGTCTTCTGCTTTTGCCTGAAGAAGTGTCGCTTTATAATGATTGTGCCAAGATGAGAAAAATATTTGACCATACCTGGAAAATCTCTTCCAGTCACCAGTACTCTTAGTGCTGGTCAGCAGATCATTTCTGTGGTGGTTTTTATGGGAGAAGAGGTGGAGATTAAATCCCTGATCACAGTATTAAATTGTGAGTCTTGGCCCTGCAGTCACTGCAGATGCTCATTTAAGTAGCTTCTGCGCTGGCTCCTCAGCAGTACCAGATCTGAACATTTAACCTCTTTGGTAGAGGTGCTGTATTGTTTGCACTTGGTTCTCCACAATCTGTAAAAGGCATTATGAAGTGTGACTTACTGACTTTCCTGCTTTTGGAAAAATAATGACTTAAGTTAATTTCTGAGGCAATTTTTTTATGATGACGTTGCATTCCTAACATGTATTTACTGTTAACTTTGAAAAATTAAGCTTTAAAATTATGTGTTTCTCTAGGAAGAGAGGAATCTTGTCTTTGTCAACGTTCACAGGAGCTTTGGTATAGCTGGGCAGCAGCTCTGGGGAAAGTCTAAAACACTGCCTGTTTTCTGCTGCTCTGAGTTGATCTAATTAAAAAAAAAAAAAAAGTTTAAAACCCAATCAAACAAAAAAGGCTAACTTTGCTTACAAATCCCAGTCTTGCTAGTATCACTAAATTCAACAGCTGCAGTGACAGTTCCACGTGGGAACTGTGATACTGTTCTCAGCAGGATTTTACCTAGAAACCTTAATACAGTGACTTTGTGGTTTTTTTTTCCAAATCCTGCAGTTGTTTATGGCAGATGCAGAGAGAGGAAACAAATTTTAGAATTGAAACCTGACAGCATTTCTTAGAAATAAGGTGGTTTGCTTTATGCTAAGTATTCTACAGCTGGGACACCATTAATAGCAATTTTTGTGGAAAGTGCGTACTGGTCTTGTAATTTTCATGTTCCCAGAATGATGATGTTGGGAATTACAGAATGATGTTGCACCCTTTAGAACAGTGGTGTAAGCAAAATGGTTTCCCAGTTTCTAATGAACATTAAAACACCTACTGAGTGACAAGATGTTGTCCAGCAACAGGATGGGTATTGAGTCATTATCAGGGTGGTGGGGTTGACGTGAGCAGCTGCATGGCCATGTGTGAAGGCGGCCTGCGATTGAGCACTGGTCTTAATGGTGAGTGTTCACTTTGGCAGAGGTGTGAGCTTTCAAATCTTGTTTTGTATTGTTCCTGGGTGCTTTATGAAAATGGTAATTGCTTCAGCGTAGCTCGTATGAAGCCCATTGAGGAAATGATGTGCCACTAACTGCACCCGGTTGCTTCATAACACAAACAGCTTTCTAATATTCATTTGTTTTATTTATATTTAGGACAAGTTCCAGGCCCACCTCGCCAGAAACACATGAAAAAGTGATGATAACACTTCTGAAGTCTGTACTGTGAACCTCTCCGAGTTATTGCTTCCTTCAGAGTTGGTCCATGCCGAAGGGAGGCAGTTGTGATCTCTTCTGCAACTGAATAATGGGCAGTGCTTTTGCGTCCGATTTTTATATGACTCTTTTTATTATATTTTAGTACTGTAAGAGGAAATAACTTTTAATTAAGAACAATATTTTACATTCTTGTGTGAAATTACTACTACGTTAACAGCTGAAGTGTGCCTGCATCACTGTGTTGTAAGTTGCAAAGTGTCCCTTTGGTGTTTATTTTTCTATAGTGTATAGCTGGATTCCTTGTAAAAAAAGTAATTAAAATGGCATTTTATTAATGAATTATTACTTTGTGTGGTTATTTGTTTCCACCTTACTTATTTTGGCTGTTATTAAAATTGTTTGGGTTTTAATAGGATTGTTCTGACTAACAAAACAGCTAAAGCACTGTCCCAAATATCAAAGATATAAACAGCCTTCTGTGAATTTAGGATTTGCTCTTCTGGTTTTACAATAAATAAGCCGTCCCTCAGTCTTTCTCACCACACTCCCATTCAGTGTCAAGCTGCTGCTCCTTCAGCTCTTCTGCGATTGAGCTGTGCGTGCATGATCCATTTGGTCTGACTGAATTCATGGAATATAGTCAATCTGTGCCTGCTTGGGAAGTCAAATGCACATTAGATTTTCCTCCAGTGTGACCTTCACTGATCAGACTGATCTGTCCAGCCATGAACTTGACTCAGTATCAGAGCTGTCCTTCAGTTTGCTTTGGTCTCCCCTCTGGGGAGAGGGAAGAACAGAGCTTTTGGGGGAAAAGATCTCGATGTTCAACATAGGGTATTTCCATACAGTACAAGATGTCTGCCCTTACTGCACGGCGGGTTTGTCCTGTTTGGTGTGTCCCCTCCACCCGGCTTCAGGTCTCCCCTCTGGGGAGAGGGAAGAACAGAGCTTTTGGGGGAAAAGATCTCGATGTTCAACATAGGGTATTTCCATACAGTACAAGATGTCTGCCCTTACTGCACGGCGGGTTTGTCCTGTCTGGTGTGTCCCCTCCACCCCGCTTCAAGTAACGGTTTGGGCAGGGGTGTGAGCTGGTGCAGGCAGGACACAGGAAGAACCACAAACCACAGATGAAAGGCAAAGAACAAATTTAATCTCAGCCAGGCCCTACTTGCCACGCTGTTCCTGATACAGGCCAGGATGCTGGTGGCCTTCTTGGCCACCTGGGCACACTGCTGGCTCCTGTTCAGCCGATAGTCCACCAACACCCCCAGGTCCTTTTCTGCCTGGCAGCTCTCCAGAGCTTTTGGGGGGAAAAGATCTCGATGTTCAACATAGGGTATTTCCATACAGTACAAGATGTCTGCCCTTACTGCACGGCGGGTTTGTCCTGTTTGGTGTGTCCCCTCCACCCGGCTTCAAGTAACGGTTTGGGCAGGGGTGTGAGCTGATGCAGGCAGGACACAGGAAGAACCACAAACCACAGATGAAAGGCAAAGAACAAATTTAATCTCAGCACCTCATGGATCGGGGAACCTCTGAAGCAGCAGCACCTGGGCAGAGGCAGGCAGGGGATGGAGGCACCGCAGAGTGAGATGGAGTCCTTATTGACAAGAGAGTCCTTGTTAGAAAGGGAGGGAGAGAGCGAGAGAGCTCACACTTGCTGTTTGGGGCTGTATTTCAAGGATTCTGGCAGAGCTGGGCTTTGATCTCTTCAACAGCAGGGCAGGAATCTTGGGTGTGCTCAATAAGGTGTCCCTGAGTCCATCCCAGGCCTACATTATGTAAGTGCAGATGTTCTACTTGTTGAGTGTTATCCTATAATGGGTAACAAGCCCTTTCAGAAGGGGAGATCTTAAAGAAATCTCCTTTAGGTTGCATATTGAAACACTGGAAACAAGTAGGAGGGGACTCCCTCATGGGGAAACAACTGATTGAATGTTGTAATAATTGGTGGCTGTTCTATATTTTAGAAGATCAAGAAAAATGGCCAAGGAATGGGACGTTAAAATATAATACAATTTTACATCTTAAGTTATTTTGGTGGGATGAAGTACCATATGTAGATTTGTTTTTCACTTTAGGAAACCACCCAGAGTGGCAGAAGGATTGTGGGCAAACTCCACAGGACCCTATGGTCCTGGCACTGGAAAAAGAAAGGGGGAATAAAAACCTGAGGAGATGTTGTTCTGCATGTAGCATTGGGAAAATACATCTCAAACGTGAGAGGGAGGAGGATGATTTAGTGTTAATGGTGGCCCCAAGACAAAGGGGAAGAGGATTTGGGCCAGGAGGATGGGGGAAAGGCAAGAGGAAGCCACAGCCGGGAAGGGGAAGGGCAGTTTGAGGGGGCAGAGGGATTTAGCCCAATTGCAGGCAGAACCAGGGGTAGACAGGAGGGGGTTATTCAGGTTCCATTGAGACAAGGAGTCAGAAATAACAGTCCGGTAACAGTAAAGGTACTGTCCTCAATAACGAACCTGTGGCCATGGAAGGAAACAGCAGGAGTTTATAGGGAAGATCTGGAGAAAGTGGCTAAGATATCTGAGACTATTATTAGAACCCAGGACTCCGACTGGAATGATCTGCAGGTGATTTTGGAAACATTACTGGACAGCACAGAGAAAAGCATGGTATTGAGTGTAGCCTGGAAACGGGCAGAGGGGACACATGCGTTACGGGGACCTGCAGGGAATGGTACATCAGAATTTTCCTACTACCATCCTGGGGTGGGACCCTAATCAACTGGGACCCTGGGGACTCTTAACCAGATACCAGAGATGGTTGCTATTCAGAATAAGACATGCTATGCCAAAAGCAGTTAATCAGTCAAAATTGTCTTTATGGAATGGCTAAAGAATACTGCTGGGACACTTACGAACTTGGACCCCAAGAAGCCGGAAGAGAATGTGCAATTAGCCTATATTTTTATGGGACAATCTGCCCCAGATAAACGGAAGAAACTCCAAAAGTTAGAAGGAGCAGATTCGAGGGATCTGGGAAAACTGTTGGAGGTGGTTTGGATGGTCTATAATAACAGAGAAAAGGAGAAGGAGACCCACCAGGCCTGCAGGGAGAATCAAAGAGAGGGGAGATTCATTGCCACATTGACTGGAGTTGCTCTGGGAAGAGTGAATGGGGCCTGGGGAGGTAGAGGAGGCTACAGAGGAATTGGGAGCGGGAGGGGAACTCATTTGGTAAAATTCTACTGATTCTCTATTTAATATTTGTAAAAGCAGCCTTGACTGTGAGACTGTAAGTGGTGTTGGTGCTATGGGAAAACAGCAAAACTGGCCCTTTTTGAGACCTCTAAGATTCAAATTGGGAAAGCAGTGGATGGTTCACCAAATTGGTGAATATATATGCCTGAATGTCCAGTGCCCCTCATGGGGAGGGATTTGTTGAGTAAATTGGATGCACAAATACTTATAAGGAAGGACAAGTAAAACTGTTGATACCAGAATCAAAGGCTGTGAGAGCGGGGATTTTTATGTTACAGACTGTTCAGTGGAGGTGGGAGGAAATTCCAGCAGAGGTGGAGGATGCAGTGACACCTCTGTCTGGGCCAACAAAGTTCCAGGACAATCAGAACTGGCAGGTCCGGCAAAGATCATTCTGAAACCAGGACCCAGAGGGGTAAGGCAAAACCAGCATCCTATCAAACCGGAAGGAAGAAAAGGTTTAGAAGGGTTAATGACAAAATTTTAAAAATTTTGGTAGAATGGGAGTCAGAATATAATGCTCCGATTTTGCCAGTGAAAAAGCAGAATGGTACAGATTATAGGTTAGTTCAGGATTTAAGAGCTGTAAACCAGATTACCCAAGATATACATCTAGTAGTAGCCAACACATACACCGTGTTAACATCTCTGAGAGGAATATAAGCAGTTTATGGTCCTTGATCTTAAGGATGCTTTCTTCTGCACACTGCTGGATAAAAGTTGCCAGATGATATTTGCTTTTGAATGGGAAAGTCCTTCAACCGGATGCAAAATGCAACTCACCTGGACTGTATTGTGCCAAGGGTTCAAGAATAGTCCAACAATATTTGGAAATCAATTGGCAAAATATTGCAGTACGAGGATGACATCATTCTAGTGGCAGCAGAACCCAACAAAACTGTTTAGAGATTATTCTAGGCCTACTGAATTTCTTGGGCCATGGGTCTTACTGCGTGTCTAAAGGGAAGGCCCTGGTAGGAAAAGAAGTAGTAATCTGTTTGGGATTTGAGATTCTAAGAGGACAACAAAGATTAGGAACTGACAGAAAGGAGGCAGTCTGTCAAACTCCAGAGCCTAGAACTGTTTGGGACCTGAGAGAATTCCTGGGTACAACTGGATGGTGTCGGTTGTGGACACCCAGTCATGGACTATTGGTAAAGCCCCTGCATGAAGGGGGATCTACAGAGAAGCATTTACTGACTCATTGCATTCAGTGTCAAACAATGTTCAGAGAACTGAAGAAAGCATTGATGTCAGGCCCTGCACTGGGATCATCAGATTTACCCAAGCCCTTTGAACTGTTCATGTACAAGCACCAACATCTCACCTTGGGAGTGCTGGTTCAAAAGCTGGGGCCTTGAAAATGACTGGTGGGGTATTTTTCTAAACAATTGGACAACGTGAACCAGAGGTGGCCTGGGTGTGAATCGTAGTCACTGTACTCTTGATCTAGGAGGCCAGGAAGCTAGCTCTCAGACAGAAGATCACTATGTTTGTCCCACGCAGTCCTCCATCCTGGAACAAAACGGGGGACACTGGCTATCACCAAGCCGTGTGCTCAAAAATCAAATTGTTTTATTGGACCGAGATGTGGAGCTGAAAACCACCACCGCCCAAAATCCAGCTATGTTTCTGAGTTCTGAGGTGAAAGATGATGAGCAATTAAATAATGACTGCTTGCAAAATATTGAGCAGGTGTATTCCAGCAGAGAAGACCTCAAGGATGAACTACTGTGTAATCCAGAATTAGAGCTGTTCAAAGATGGGAGCAGTTTAGCTCGAGAAGGGAAATGGATGGCTGGATACGCAGTTGTCACAACTACAGGGGGTAATAAAAGTGGAGGCCCTGCCCATAAGGCAGAACTGATTGCGTTACAACAAGCCCTGAAGATAGCCGAAGGAAAAAGAGTCAACATCTGGACAGGCTCCAAATATGCGTTTGGAGTGGTACATGCTCATGGGGTGATCTGGAAAGAGAGGGAATTATTATTAGCTCAGGGATCACCAATTAAACATAAGGAAGAAATTTTGCAACTTCTTCAGGATGTGCAAAAACCCAAAAAAATGGCAATAACGCATTGCAAATCTTACCAGCTGTCATGGTTTGGCCTCAGACGG